TTTTACGGTACTAGTACCTTGATCACCCAAATAGCGTTGACGCTGCAGCGTAAAAACGTTATGGGGGCTGATACAATACGGCCACGAAGGGACGAGATGGCGGGGCAGTCTCGCGGCATTCTACGGTAAGCGCAACTGATAGCATAAAAGGATTGCTGTACAAGCTTGGAAAGTGCTACCTCACAGACAGGCTAGAATCATGAAAATGCTGATTTTTGAATCTACAGATAAAGAGCCGAGATGCAAAACCCGCTTATGTAACAGGTAGCCGAGTGGTAGGCGCGGTGCAATCAACAAGAGTTAGTTTTATTCTACTTCTCTCAGGTACACACCTGGGATATAATTATTAGTAAGGCGAGACCAAAATAAAATTGAGATTCCCGGACAGGACCCATGTGAAATTGGTGCGGGCGGGCGAATTTTTTTCTTTTTCCCATGTATGTACTAGTACATGATTTTATGTGTGCAAGCATGTGGACATACAGCATTTTCCAGTAATTTTTATTCATTTTTTACAGACAACAGGTACGCGGTTTACCCGTTCTATTTTTTCTGTATTTCGGCCAACGATGGCCCTTATCTGTACATCAGGGAGTCGTACAAGCGGTTCCGTATCACTTCCGTATTAGCCGGGCAGGGATACTACACCCTCCCTTCCTACAGATAATCACGCCCTCGTGATTTTCAAAAATTAGCGAAGAGTGATGAACACAGCGTCAACCGGAAGATGGCAAATTATATCGGAAATGATAACGTTTAGAGTAGACAGAAGAAATGAACTGATAACAAATCATAACATAGAAGTAAAAGCACACCAGGTTCACACGATCTCTCGGGGCCAAAAGGGAAAGATTGGTCCTCCAAACAAGACGTGAAAGACAGCCAAATTTCTGCACATCGCGGGCTCAAACTGCCAGGAAATTCACAATTTCAAAAAAATGCACTGCATCGTGGGAACTTGCTCCGGTACACACCTGGAGTGTAAAAGGGGATCTCACACACTTCTCTCACAAGGTTAGTTAGGTAAACCGTGGCTCACCATGATCAGACGCCTACCAAACTAAACTAGATACACACACTCGCATAAAGGAAGACTGAAGAGAACAGGGAGACTGAAGGAAGACAGGAAAGAAAATGCCACACCTGGAATCAGCGTTAGTAACCACGGCGGCGGCTGGAGCTACAGCGGAGGGCGGGCCAGGTTTTATCTTCATCTTGGTTGAGCCGGTCACTCAGAGCGGCTAGCTCGGCGTCAGACACACACAGACAAATAACCTCCCTCCTCGTCTTGAATCGTGGTCTTCACATTGTCGATAGCATCGCTTTGCGCGACGTAAAGAGTGATGGTCTAGCCAGGAAGAGTGTTGACGAAAATCTGCATCCCACCACGGAGACGAAGTACCAAGTGAAGAGTGAGCTCCTGCTTCCGACTACGTGCCGGCGAAAATCAAACGCTGCTGGTCTTGGGGAATACCCTCCTTGTCTTGGGCAGCAGCCTGCCTGTTGTCGTCCTCATCAGCTTCGCCATCACCACCGGTAGTATACATGTAGGTAGCGGGCTGCTTGGAATCGCTATTGGAGTCTCCAGTGTGTGCCTTGCGGAGAGAAGGGTGATCCACGCTAGCACCCTGACTGTGCTGCAGGCTAATAAGCAGGGCCAAGCCCAGGAAGGCAAGAAACATGATTCTCATCTTAATTCGTCGCACGGAGCTGCAGCGGGTTGAGCCATGGGGGTCTGGGGTCGAATCACGTTGTTCTATTTTTTTTAAACATACACCGCTGCCACCAATGTAACAGGTAGCCGAGTGGTAGGCGCGGTGCAATCAACAAGAGTTAGTTTTATTCTACTTCTCTCAGGTACACACCTGGGATATAATTATTAGTAAAAGAAGAAGCGGCAAATAAATGGAACTTTCTCTCCGGTGCACACCTAGAGGTTGACTACTTCTTCTTCGAGTTAGCTTTGTCGTTGCTATAAAATCTTATCAAAACAGAAATGCGCAGCAGCTTTTATGCAGCAGACGCCGTACGTTTACATACGGAGATACACTAAATATCCCTCAGGTAAAGTTCCGTATTAGGCCAAGTAAAAAAATTGATTATCGTCCGCGCCCGCCCCAAATTTTCACCCTCCCCGCCGAATTATTTTATTTTTAATACTGGTAAAATACTGTATGTACTGCGCGCTGCGGTCTACAGCCTCTAATCAGCATGGCCGTAGATTTTCGAAGGTCAAGTCCACAGACTGAACCATAACTTAGTTGCTATGGGCTTGAAAAGTGAAACTGATCATAAGCTGCCTGATTTTCTTCGTTTTTTCTACGTAACGTTGGTTGTTCCACTTTCCATTATCCTCTGGGGTTGCGAACACCTGCCCTACAGCCATAAATGCATAATAAAAAATAAAATTAAAAACCTCCCGTCCGCCCCGATTTCTCGGGAAAATCTGACGATAAACAATCAATATATTTTACATGGCCTTAGTTCCGCATTACTTCCGTATTAGCCGGGCAGGGATACTACACTTAATCCATTTCATCACTTTTCGGATAATGGCTAGAAAAGGACTCATTTTACGTGCGGTTTGTATCTAAATCCACATTTGGGTTCCAGTTTTGACATGGTTCTAGTAAGATTTTGGAGCTGAAAATCTGTTTTTTCGCAAATTGGCAACTATTTGGGTTTTGCACCTCAGCTCGTCAGATGTGTGCGAGGTTTCTTCCTCAGTAGGGCGACACATCCGCCAGCAGTGATTGATTTGGGGCCTCCCCACTGGTAATGTACTCCTGGTACAAAACCACACGCCCAGCTGTGGCCAAGGAAATCCAACCCGTTGGCACTAGCCGAAAGCAGCACCAAGACTCCTGTGGCCCTTGGATGGTTTTCTAACCGTACAGGATGTATGTGAAACGGAATCGCCGCATGATGCGGCACTGCATTTGACTTGCGGATATCTTCGGCCACGGCTGTACATGCGACATCGGGGACGGGCCAAACCACCATGTAGTATACTTCATTTATAGGCTGTTCAGACTACGGTCAAAATCACGCCTGAACGTGAATTTCAATGGTGATGCAGTTATGGTTCAAAATTAATGACAAATGTACAATCGTAGAAACGTGGTCACAGTTGACTGTAGTCTGAATACCCTGTAAGGTCAGAGTGGATGGTCGTTTGACGTACACACGAAAGACCTGATATGTACAATACACGGCATATCCACGTCAAGCATCTGACCATGGGCATAGTCGCGGGTGTTTGTGGTGACATTTTCACAGACTTTTCTGATACAAAATTACAAAAATTAATATTTGCGAAAGATTTTTTACGAACTACTTACATGGACACGCTGGAGAGTTCTCCATTGTGGGACTGGCACGAAAACAACCACGGCCTTCTTACCGGCAACCTCGATCTCCTGGAGGAGGCCACATAACACAGACTATCAGCCTGAAACATTCTCTCCATGCTATGGGCTCTCTAGTAACTATCTCTTACCCGGGAGCCACTGATGGCGATCTGTGCAAGGGTACCTTTGAGGTCGGACTTGCTGTCCAGCTCAAGGAGAGCCTACAATTTGACAACACACATCATCAAACGCGAACGTTTATCCAACAGCTTCCAGGGTTCCATGGGGACAATGACAGCTAACGAACCTCAGTGATGGCGGCTGTGGTTGGGGCGGCCATGGCTGATCGGTGAGGAAAGGAAGAGAAAGCTCGAGCTCCCCAGCTTTCCGAGAAACAGGGCGCATGCGCGTTGGTCAAGCAAAAAAATGTCGATGGGCAGGGCGCCGGCAGAATACCGAAAATATTTTCGAGATGCGAGGGTATTTTCGGCCGGGCCGGTGGTAAGCACCACCGGACACAACATTTTTTTCATTTTCCCAGAAAGAAAGCCACACTGCCTCCACGGCTGCGCACCCAAGTGACCAACTCTCATGGGAGCAAAGCAGAAAACAGTGACAAGAACTAACTTGAACTTGAAGAAGGAAACACAAAGAAGCTCGAGTTGCCAGTCGAGTCAAAATTTGACTTTGTCGCTTTTGACCTTTTGCAGTTGTTGGCAGAAAAAGGATCTTGTATCCAGTAAGTTAGTTTTGCTGCGACAGTCACACAACACTGTAGACCTACATTTAGATCTTCCTAATTTTCCAGAGCCAGAGTGTGTCACAGTCACGCCTGGAGAAGGAGACACCGAAACAGTGGGTCCATTGTTATTAGGCATTATGCCTGTTTTGATTTCCACTATAAATAAATATACAACAAAAACCTCTCCCTTGGCCTCAATGAAGCCTGGTGGTAGGATCGTCCAAGCGGTGGGATGCTACAAAGATTTGTAGCGGTAAATGTTATTGATTGTTAGTGTTGGAAGGCAGTACATTTTGAGTTGGAGTTCGTCTCTCAAACCGTGACCACATAACTTTGTTGCATCAACTCGACGGTACTGAGCATGGGGTCTCACCATCACGGTTCACCTGATCATGTCGCTAAGGAAGTCATGTATTGGAGGCACCACTGACTCCGATTCGGATTATTGCGATACCTAAGCACTGTAGTAAGCAGTCAAATACTCCTACTTAAATTATAGTATAAAAAACCTCCAGTCATAGTAGTACTCAGAAACTAGTAGTATTAGTAGTAGTAGTAGTAGTAGTAGTCATAAACCTGTATAAAAAACCTGGTGCTGTAAAAAACCTGGTGCTGTAAAAAAAACCTGGTGCTATAAAAACCACGTTTTAGGAAAATGAATGGAGTGTTTTTATACTATAATTTAAATAGAATATAAGCTTCGCCCTTGTGTTTACGGGAAAAAACCCTCGGCAAAAACCCTCGGCGTCGCCTCGGATTTTTGCCTCGGGTTTTTATTTCACGTAAACACCCGGGACTCAGCTTATATTCTATACATAGTAACATACATGTACATGACTGTACTTCACTCCGATTCATACTTCATGTCGCGTACGGGAAACGCGTCGCGAAAAAGTTGATCTGAGCTCAACTATTTCGCGTACGGGAAACCCATCGCGCGTACCTAGCTGTTTCTGACCTTGCGCAAAATTGCCAGATCCGAGTAATCAGCGGACTTTGGAATGAAGTATTAGTTGCGTGAACAACTACTATTTCCACTGGGAGCACTTATAGTCTAGTGAACGTTTTAGAAATCCCTCAAGTCGATCCATGAGTGTATGATTTGCTGTAGGCAAGGGAGCTTTGGGTTTTAGTATGGCCTTTGGTAGCGATTTAGCAGTGAAGCTTTCAGATTAATGACATCACCAAGTCTGTGCAGCGACGTGGTCACCACATGGCATATTATGGCATATGATGCAGTCGTGCAACTTGTATCAGTTTGTGGATAAGCCCATTGCACAATGACGTAATTTGTACTCATACCTTCCACATCTGGCGATACGCAATGGGCTTATTGGTATACATATACTACCATGATTGTGCAGGATCAGACGTAATACTTTTGTCGCACTAGCTGCATGCAAAGACAGCCTGCGTTCATGAGCCTGAGGCCCGCTTTCCCCGGCACATTCCAGTCCCACATCTGCCAGTTCAACACACATCGGTAATTCACAGTCTTCGTTTATCGATATGCAGAATAGGAAGTTTTTTTTCATTTTCGACATTGATGCGGCTGGCACCTCAAAGAAAATTAACAAGATACTTCTCAATACGTATCTCTCAGTACGCTAGCAGATCACGATGAGTTATGTACAATTGCACAGGCAAAGTACAATAATTCTCAATGATATTTTTTAAATACAGCTCAAAGGTTGATAAGATACTATTTACGCTGATGTACAAGGGAAATGCGGTGATTTAGGCTGCCTCTTTATATACACATACGTTGCTGTCGGTAATAATTTTACCAGACTCAATAAGCAGTCGCACGCTTGCCGGAGGAATCAGCAGCAGTGAATGACAGATTGCCACACTATAGCGTGATTCTCTGGCGCCCCTCGGGAGGATGTTACTTCGGAAGTATGTCAACCCACGTCGCTAGTGCAGTGGCTATCCTTTGAAGGCTAGCTCCTGTCATACGTGTGGTGGAGGCTTTTCTTCACAGAGCAGGTCAATCTCCATCACCGGCATCCTGTCCTGGAACTACATGACTGTACGACGTAGGTCCATTATCTAGTAAGAAGGTTCATTACTACTGTACATGATCCTACATAACATTGTCTTAAACTTGACAACATCTGGAACACAAACAACAATGATTCATACGTTTAAAGTGTTCTTATTTTTGTCCGCGGATTCCTTGTTCGAAGCTCAGAGTAGTTGGTTTGGTAAGTTTGAATGCTGGAAAACCGATGCCTGCTTTGATGTAGTTTCTTGGTCTGCATCATACACTGATATGGATCATTCGCGAGAGCTTCCCTCGGAAGCTTGGCAGTAGTCGCAGGTCAAACACCGACGTCGACGACGTTTTCCTGGACAGGAGCTTGTGCGCGTGGTGGCGCTCCTTGGCCGCGTGTATGGCCGAGTGAAACGCCTTGCGCACCGCTTCTCCACCGCTGGCTGCCGATGTTTCAAAGTACGGAATTCCGTAGTGCTCGGCCAAGGCGACGGCCTCCTTGTTGGACACTTTCCTGAGGCTTGAATCGAGATCGGTCTTATTGCCGACGAGAACGAGTGGCAGTTGAGTTGCCCGTTGTTTGCCCACCTGGCAACGAGCGACGGTGGCAATGAGGTCGCCGACGCCCTCGAAGCTAAGGCGATCCGTGACAGCGAACACCACCATGAAGCAATCACTGGTGTTTATCTGCCTCTCCCGTCGTACGTGGTCATGTTTCGTGTGACACTGGAGCAATGGAGAGAAGAACAAACAGAAAAATGGGAGTCAATCCAAAGTCCTCCAATAGTTGGTGCAGCTGTAATGTTTCCTAAACAGTGAAACACCCAGTGCTGCCATGTACTAGTAACACATTGGGTGTATACTATGACTATCCCAAGTCTGCAGGCAACGGAGACTGCTGTGGTTCGGCCATGTAGTGAGGGAAGGCGAAGAATCGTCCTCTTTCCAAGCCCTCCTGATGTCGATCAACACAACAGACATACGACGACCCCGAGGACGACCACGTCTGAGATGGATCGACGTTGTCAAGAAAGACTTACAATGCATTAATCTGTCGCTTCTGGATGCTGTGCAATCTGCTTCTGATAGAGCTGCTTGGCTCGAAATTGTTAACAGATGCGTTGACCTCATGCAATGAGTGAAATGCGAACTGTCATTATTATTATTATTATTATGATCAGTGTTGCATCTTCTTTCTTTTTTTCGTATAGTCTCCAGATTATTGCCTGGTAATAGACGATTCAGACTACGGCCAACTGTGACCATGTTTCTACGACTCAGGCGTGTTTGATCAGCGATTGTGCATATATATTTGAAACACGACTGCATCACCATGGAAATTCAAGTTCAGACGTGATTTTGGCCGTAGTCTGAATCGACTATAACCCTTGGGATATATATTTTATATAACAAATTGGCATTTGTGCCCTAGAACATGTCGTGCCAAAACAGAGGACCATATACTCGATGGCTATTACTGGCTGGCTTGTGAAGCGGCTTGCATGGCCATTTTCTTTGCAGCATGAGTCCAGAAACTCCTCCATACCCACTCAAAATACATGTACGAGTGGTCATAATCAAGATTAGTACAGTTCTGCTCAATGTCATCGATTTTCAACTACACCAGTACTGCGTGCACGACATGCACTGACGACATGCACTGACAACATGCACTGACAACATGCACTGACAACATGCACTGCGCATTCCCAATAATTATTTTAAACTCCAAACCTATAAGCAAATTCTTCTCACCTCGCCCGCAGTGTCCCGGATGTGCAGCTGGTGCGGTCTGCCGTTGACAAGAACTTGCTTGATGTACGTGTCCTCGAGCGTAGGATCATATTCCCAGAGAAACCGCCGACAGATGTACTGCACCACAAGAGCTGTAGAGTCAAAAGAAGAAGAAATCAGAACAGCGATGTACAATTATTGCTTGCACACAATTTCAAAGCCATTGCAATGTGTCATGCAGAACCGCCTCGTGGCTGTATGAAGCTATTGACTATCATCAACTCCATGTGAGTCAGTACTCAATAGGTTAGTGTAACACTGATGGTTTTCATGGTCAGTTTAACGGCAAAACCATCAAGTGGCCAGTACTAGAAATCTTTTTGCTCCAGGGGAAGAGCATCTATTGCAGCAATGGGATCCAGACTGCTAGCCACAGGCTGTGTTTCCCTCAGGTCATTCCTGTGCTAGACACCTTTGCCCCGCAAGTCAGTAAAGGCACACTGAATGTCCCAGCTTCCTTGATTGCAGTAGCAAGTTCACTCGATTGTCCCGGGCAATATACGTCAGACGCTATCATTTTACCATACCAGTACCGGCCGAGTGGAGACCAAGGTCCACTTAGGATGGCCTATTCTATCCTTCCATGTGTGTGTGTGTGTGTGTGTGTGTGTGTGTGTGTGTGTGTGTGTGTGTGTGTGTGTGTGTATGTGTGAAGCCCTGCAGAATATCCTGAAGCCATCATAGTATGCAGTGATCGTGTTACTTCGCTCAACATGTATAGTACGTGAAGCATGCTCCCCAGTGCAATGCCGTTCAATAAGGGCAAGACACATACTACTACTACTGCAGTACTGGCATTCATGTACAGAATGTGCCATTGTCATTTTAGCCCACTTCTCTGCTGCTCTTATACGGAGTGAAGCAAGTGCAAAGTGCAAGAAAGCCTCCTTTTCCTGTTGTGTTTCCCATACTTGGGTGGCACAAAAGCAATTTCCTTACGTCCTTACGGCTTTGTGAAGAGTATTATCCCGTGATCAGGTTTATGACACAATTGATCTCCTGCAGGTGATCTTATCTCCAGGATCCTGCTTCTCTAGTGTGTGCTTCCCACACGGGAAGTGACCGTAGACCTTTCCTTGTCAGATCTAAACGCATCCCACAGACTGCCGTTGCACCCGACCAATCTGGCCACGCACTGGCCTAATCGTCTGCAGATATGGCAAAGCAATCGGCCACCAGCTGAATTACCCACACCAGGAAAGATGGAGGAACAGGAGGTGTCCAGTGCCACGCAGATTGCAATTTGGTGACACGTTCAGCAAAGTGCCCATCACATTAAACGACCGCCTCAATGAGCGTTGCATGCACACTGCCAGGCAATACCACCACCATGCAAGGCAAGCTCGCGTGCACGTGGGAGCAGGAGAAATTCCAATTAGTCAGGTAATCGAGTCACTTGTTCTGCACAATCTTGTACTGTACTGGTGCCGACATGCCAGTCCTTGAAGCATCACCTGAACAAGCCAGCAATGCTGTTCACGCTAAGCCGGTTGTACATTACTTATTGTTTCAATTCTGGGGAGTGAAATCAAGGAGCACACGGCCAAAAGTATCTGTCAATACCTATAGTACACGCGAGACCGACCGCTTTGTTCAACCTGCCACTCGCTCTCCAACCGATGATTGATGAAATGGGATCATGCCCGGAGCGTATTCTTTCAAGAAAATCTAAGATCTCTAACACCACAGCCTATACCTACTGGGTGGCTGCCCCGCAGATACTGCTAACTGGCACGAGCAACTCAACTAGATTCACAACTACGAGTCGTTTCATATTTGAATCTAACCCTCGAGCGATTGCAATAACTGAAGCACCAAGACAGCATTGATCGCCTTTGCCCTGAGTGAGAAGGCAATGACACCGAGAAAGGCAATACCTCACAGTGCAGTCCACAAGCCAAATCTGAACTTGCTCAATGCTTTGCCGATGGGAATACTAGTTCGGACAGATACCAGAGCGACGCCAGGAGTCACACCTGAGATATTTATAACACCAAACGCAGACTTTTTCTGAATATTATCAACTGTAATGAATAAGTGATGAAGTAGATGCTGCGCGGGTTATTCAGTCTGTCACTCCGGTTACTTCCTGTGGACTGACTTTGGACATAGGCTTTGCGCGTACCTTCTCAGTTTCCTAATATCATTCTATCTTGCCGCTCCAGCTCAGCAGATACATGAACAACAAGTATAGCAGCAGCTGTATATGTGTGGTCCTCAGTCACTGACATGACTAGCTGTACGTCTTGCATGTACCTCTTCAATGGTATGATGCAAGCTCGGTTCAGGACACCACGACCAGGTTCACCCAGCCCAGCTCAGCAAGGTACAACAGCTTACAAAATACAAGTGCATGTGCTACTGTTAGCGCTCCTGTTCAGCCCTTGTCAAGTCTTCTACGTCTACCGCCGTACCGGAGGTCTCAGCTGACGCTAATCCAGTCTGAAAGTACATTTCTCTCCAATCTCCGTCCCTGGCATTATAACACGGATACCTGCTCCTGTGAAGCATTCCTCCCCGCAGATCAACCCAAAATTAGCTCCTCTGATCCGCGGGAGGCGAAGCCCTTTGGAAAACTAGCTGGTGCCCAACGGCAAAGCCCTCCCCTACTTTCACAGACCCCAACAAGAATGGCTAGTACTGGTAGTAGTGGCCAGGATTACTACTCGGTTACCGATACGATAATAATAATAATTATTATTGTTATTATGACTGTTACGTCCACCCTGGCCTACTGTAGTACTGATAACCATGCTCAGCCTCAGGGTGTTCGGTAATGGTTCCTAGAGTTTTGAGCAGCACGAATTGCATCCACAACTGAATCACAGCAGCCCATCGCATCGTAACATACACGCACCAAACGATACACAAGTAATAGTTGCTTGCACTGCACACATGCGTGCACAGAAAGCGTTCACACTGTGAACACCGACAAGAAGTAGGATTTCCGTGACCATGGACGTGTTGGGCCTCATGCTCACCTGACTTTCCCACACCGCCGCGTCCGAGCACCATCATCTGCAGGTCCGTAGTCTTCTTCTGCAGGTCGGGAGTTGACGGCGGCGCTGGGGCTGGCGGCGTCGTTGCCCTCCGCTCCAGAGGAGGCTTACTGGCACTTGCATGTCGTGGCTTACGCATCATTGGTGCTGGAAAGGAACAGAACTTTCCGCTCAGCTAAACACACAAACCCTGCAAAGGCCTGGTACTGAATGTTTCGGCCTCCTCAACTGAGGAGAGGTTTCTTCTTCTTCTTCCTCGCTTTGCTGTGAGCGCGTATGTTGCAATTGTCACTGCCGAGCTAGCCTATAAACCATGCTTTTTAGTCTTATGCGAGCACCAACACTTCCTTCCGTGACTCTCCACTTCGCGGAGTTAGAGAGCAGAGTAGATCGTTTTAGGACTCCGACACGGTGTCTATTTTGCACCTTCTTCGGTCGAAATCAGTTCACTATGTGCGGCAGTCGGTCATCAGACGTGGGAGGTTGTTGGCAAGCGGACGACCGCGCGAGACCATGTGCAGACGAGGTCACGAGTATGACCAAGTGCGGTACTGCTGCGTGTCCTGGTGGAGTCGACGAGTACGAGAGTGCACGGTGCGACCTAAACCCACCAGTGGGTCTTCCGGGCTGCCCCATGCGTGCATGATGAGTGATACTGAGCTGAGTCCCCATGCATTCAATCTGTGTGAACATCGGGGAGCCGTAAATACTCTCCTGAAATCAACTGTTGAATAAAGATGGGAGCCTCAATTTCGAGGTGTTGGACTACCTACATTACGTAGCTGCAGTTCGCAATGGTGTTGCAATGGCCTGCGAAGCACCTGGTAAATGGTGAAAGCGCAGAGCCGACGCAAATTGCCTTTGCATCCCACCGGCAGGTCAACGTCGTTAACGTCCACCTAATCCATGTGCTTCTCGATCGTCCATATCCGCTGGCTGGATAGTGTAGCACCGGTCTCGGCTTGTAGACTATTTCCCCTGTCAAGACCATGCACTGCGTGAAACACACGTACCCACACGCGCGCGCACGCATGTACTGATGCAGAACTAGAAATCGAGAGGCTATGCACCAAGGGAGGATGGCAATTGTGATACGCAAATGCGCTGGTCCACGCTGAGCCTATTCGCACCACGTGCTGAAACACTAAGATTGCAAACGTGTGTCTGCGTCAATAATGTCGCCCAGTCTGCTGCGAAGCCCATTATGACACTCCGAGCAGGGGAGGGGAGTTGTAAATTCACCACTCTGCAGAGGCCGCTAATTTTCTGTTGACTCACGTCTTCCTGAATGTGAACAACTGCCTTGAACCTGCTGGAACTGTCGACTACAGTTCAGCGTTCGAGAGAAGTCAGCAGAAATCCTCGGAGGAGACACGTTGTTCTTGTTGTGATTCATGTGAACAACATCCGCGTTCGGTTTATTTTTGGCCAGGAGCGAGCACGTCAGCATTGGACGACGACGAAATGGTGTGATCGAGGAGTCGTGAGTTTGCTAATGCACAGAGCATATGGGCAAAACCATGACTTTGCAAAGAATTAGAGATTCTTCTTAGAAGCCCGTCCTACTCAAACAACACAATCACGACGGAACGACTAGCATTATTCTCTCCGTACAAATACGGTCGTGAGGGAGGTCTTGGTATGAATCACATTGTTCCCCACATTACCAGATGATCATGGCGGTAACGCTTACAATGATCATGACTTGTATGTAATCACTCTAATGGAATACATGCCTGGGCTTGAGTACATGCATGGGTGTTGTAAAGTGGATGGCACGAGTAGCAGTCGCACAGGAACTTAAATCTTTCTTCATCTGTTCCCTGCCGATCGGAGCTTAAACGGGATAGGCGAGCGAAGGAACCCGACGTGTCCATTACAGAATGTACAATCATGTATTTGCTTTTTTCAAGGGCTGTGCGTCGCACAAGCAGGCCAGAAACGGAAAAGAGAGGATAGACGCTGCTCATGTGACAGAGGCGTCGGAAATAAACTGTCCCGGAGACGGTGTCCAGCGAGTGGGCTTAGCCTTTTCCGCTCGAGCACCTACATGTACATGAATGTCATGCGCACAGTCGAGGTCCTTGTGCTTGAAAGGTGGGTGAAAACTACAGACCAGTGCTCAGCGTTGACCTTGGGGAGGTTTCACAAAGACACAAGTCCCAGCGGCGCCAGGGTGCGACTAGTCCTGCGCGCACTGCATACCAGGCGAGGATGTGTGACATCACCTTGCAAGTCAAGGAAATCAGCATACGTGCAAGTATACAGCGCTGGCACATTCCATTAGGTTGATGCTGATGATGATCCAGGTAGAATCCAAAATTGTAATGTCGGCGACTGTGCGTAACATTGAAGGTACATGTATGTAGATGTACATGAACCATGCAGACGCCTGTTAAAAGCATCTCGCAACCATGAAGTACAGCGTGCCAACATTCCAGCAAGGACGGAAGAATAGGAAGAACAACGGTGTGTACGCCTTGGGCGTTGCCTGACGATGTCTGACTTCCAACTGGGAAGATTGTCATGCATTGCCCGGAGAATATTGAAGATGAGTACGTGGATGAAACTGAAAGGAGGAAAGAAGAGAGGAAAAAGGGGAAGAAAATCTCCGCCAGGACTAGAGGCAATGAGCGTGCAGATCGCGAGCGTCACATTAGAATGCAATCGCGCATGTACATGTACGTACTCCCTGCGTGTGCATGGCATTGTACCAGCAGCAATGCAGTAGTAAAATTGGAAGGAAGCAACGAATGCGATGGATAATCTACACCCACCAGTATGTAACGACACTCCTTCGAAAGATAGAAAATGTGTGTTTTTATGAGATAAGGGCAGCAGAAAGTGCAAGTAGTTTTAACTTTTACAACTCAGACTCTTGTTCTTTTGCAAGGTCGTTAGTACGGTTACCCCAATCTCCACTCGTGCATGACAGCATGTCTCACAGAAAACGTATTTACAAGACAGTACATGTACATATACAATGTACATGCGGTACGGCTGTAATAGTAATACCAGTGCCGCTGCAAGCCTGGGACTATCGTGTTGTCAATAGCATCAACCTGTACTGGCTATTTAGCGCTAAACCAACTTTTTCGTACGCCGCTGGATCATCTTCCTGTAGTCCCCAACGATGATGATCCCGACCACACGTTTCGATGTGCATCGCGGACGCAACCACTAATGTATGCTGTGCCGCCGGTGTGCCTTTGTGTGCACGTTTGTGTGCACTTTTCTTGCTCGTAGATGGTGCTCGCGCGCGCGCGCGTGTGTGTGTGTGTGTGTGCCTGTACGATGTATTAATTGACGACCGGTCGATAAATGAGCACCACGACCGGTCGATAAATGAGCACCACGACCGGTCGATAAATGAGCATGATGCACGCATGGCTAGGTACATTGTCGGGAACATCATAGCCTAGCCTAGCTATCACCTTCCTAGGTATCACCATAGCCTAGGTACTATCACCTTCCTAGGTATCACCTTCTCACTAGCTGTACACGGCATCACGAAAGGGGCGAAACCTCTACAAGTACAAGTACATTTAATTCAGTATTGTAGTTGTGGTGATAGTGTAGACTGCTCAGATGTGCTGTGTCTATCGCTATCATTAGCAAGCAAGGGCATGGGATAGTTTGAATCATATTCTTACAATCTAGCTCTCGTAGGTCGTCATGTCCCGTGGTCCGCGGATCCATTATGATATCATGGTCTGACATCTTCTGAGAGCCTAGAAAGGAGTTGTTTGTTCTGGGGAGGTTCTGAGTTCGAATTGCATAGCATGGATGATGGTTTTACGCTGTTCACCCACACAACACGTGCCGTTCCGGATACACTCCACTACTAGGCACCGGCGGATAATGCCGGCAGAAAAATTGACAGAATTCGGTGCTTTTTCTGGTAAGTTTCATGCATGTTTTGTACGTGGATAAAGAAATGGAGCAGAATTCGAGGAACTGCCCGCCATAAGGTTTGTATGGTTCTGCCAATTTCACTGCTTTTCAAGCAGAATTTGCCACCTTTTCGAGCATTATCCGCCGGTGCCTATCCACTACTAGTATTGCATTATACTTGCTCATTGACGGGAGTCCCACAATGCCCATAATTAGGCATTGGCGGATAATGCTCGAAAAGGTGGCAGATTCTGCTCGAAAAGCAGTGAAATTGGCAGAACCATACAAACCTTATGGCGGGCAATGCCTCGAATTCTGCTCCATTTCTTTATTCACATACCAAACATGCATGACACTTGATCAGCTGTAGCACCTACTCCACTTTTATGTTTATGTATCTATGTCATTCGGATCTTACCAAGTTGTACATTGTACTGTTGAGATACCGAATTCAAATAAATCAATACCAATACTTACCAGAAAAAGTACCGAATTCTGCCAATTTTTCTGCCGGCATTATCCGCATACATGTATGCCTACCCATACTACATTACCACCGGCTTTTTTTCGATTCTGTTTCAGTTGTACCTCACTGTAGTGGTGTAATCCTGATGAATGCCGCAAGAAAACTTTGAATCGTGTCTCTACTGTGGCCTTGTGACTGCTGATGAGCGCGTTTACATGTTTCATTTCCATACTGCGAGTTTTTTTTAACGACATGCAAAGCGTGCATGGAATTCCCCATTTACCATATTCCGCACGCCCAGAAGAAACCCATAAGACTGGTACTAGTACCTCTAACTCCTTTGCCACCCATGGAGGAATTCAACTGGTCTCTAGTTGCGGTTCGGCCGTGGCTCACATTCCCCATGCATGTCACGAACACATAATCACAATGTGGTGACACACATATACATCAGCATACAATTATGTACAAAGAATGTTGACTTGGGCGATGGGCACGCAATGACGTCGGCTAATTATGGCGCCTGCTTCAATCGGACAATCCTGTCATGCAAGAACTACATGTACCGCTACATGTACAATGTAGATCTACATGAGCACGAGCCACGAGCCTGGCAAGAATACATTACTACATGAAAACTGCAATTAGTAACGCCGCGCGCTTCTCAGTTGCTAATAATTAGGAGTACCGGTAGGCGTATGGCCTTCAATGAGTGACAGAGACACTTATTATGTAAGTTCAAAAACGCCGAACAGAACACATTGGTGACCTTCTACGCCACTGTCTCCTAGCCCTTGGGGGATAACGCTCGAAAACTTGGCAGGTTCTGCTCGAAAACTTGGCAGGTTCTGCTCGAAAACTTGGCAGGTTCTGCTCGAAAACTTGGCAGGTTCTGCTCGAAAAGCAGTGAATTTGTCAGAATCATGCAAACCTTATGACAAAAAAACTGGTACATGTACTTCCTTGAATTCTGCTCCACTTCTTTATCCACATACTAGTAACCTATGGTGCAATCCATGGCATGAACAGAGGACGAATTCCACTGTTATGTGTGTGCGTGTAGCAACGGATTATGTAGAGCGACAGTTGAAGCAGGTGAAATCC